ATGCAATAACTATGTAATTTATACTAAACTTTATAAAATTTACTGTTATATATAAATCACAAATTCAGGTACAGATCAAGACTAATCATATACAACAGGCATATACCTTGTATAATTTTTTTACACAATTATTATGTTGATTTAGCACATTGCAGTCAATGTTCTGAAGAAAGTTGCACTTAAAGCACTATATAAATTAAGAAAAGAGATGGAAAACCACTTCAGAGAAAACATAAAATGAACCATGAAGTTATTTGATGCACTGATATCTCCGATACTCTTTTATGCGAGTGAAGTGTAGGGGGTTGATTGCAATGGACAATTAGGAAAGGATCCAGCAGAATTAGTTCAAAATAAATTCCTAAAGTGGTTGCTGGGAGTTAATAAATACTGCAATAACAATGCATGCAGGGTTGAGAAAGGAAGGTTCCCAATGAGAATTGAAGCCCAATGTAGGAACTTTAAGTTCTGGTCAACCTTAACCAAAAATGAAAACAAATTATCCCAAATAGCATACAATGACATCAAATGGAATGAAAATAAAGCTCTCTGGAGCAAAAAATCAAAAGCTTATTGGAACAGATAGGATTAGGAGAACTCTGGATGAAAGCACACTATGCGGACATAGGAATTGTAAACATGATCAGGAAACGACTTAGAGGTATTGAACTACAAAGATGGCTAAGTGAAATAAATAACAACACCAGAAAAGATACTAACCAAAGCAACAAAATGACAACCTACCAGTTATTCAAAACGATAGACAATTACAAATGTGAAGATTACATGTACCTACATCAGGTCACCAATACACAACACAGAATAGCTCTAACAAAACTGCGACTAAGCAATGTTTCTAATAAACCCCCCTAGTGGAAATGCTAAAATACAAAAACTAATAGCAAAAAGTTAATACTCTAGGTCTTAATTAATTTAACAACTTATTAGCTATATATGGTTAGGAATTTTTTGTTGTTTGTAATTTTAGTTATTTGGAAATAGTTGATATACTATTATTTTATTGTATAAGACTCCAAATAAATAAAACATGTACGTATGTATGTATGTAAGGGGGGAGGGGGAGGAGTCTCCCAAAAAATTTTTCGGCCAGGTTTAAAAATAAGGGGGGGGGACCAGGCCCCCCAGGCCCGTCCCCTGGATCCACCACTGCACAATTATTTCAGTATTAATAAAAGCTCTAGACTCATTCCGTTCACACAATAGCAAGTCACAAGGAATGCACAACCAGGCTAACGAGTCCACAGAAATCGGGAAAACAGATGTCATGTGATTCAGAGTTTGACAGACAGACAGACCTTGCAGTATCGATTTGCGAGATAGATAAGATCTAGTTTTTGGATTGAAGCATGTGCTGTGAGTGTGTGATCTTGTTTTGGAACAATGAAAGAAGATTTATGGTTGAAAAATTGGTTTGAGTATGATTATCTACAGAGTCGTTTAGTTATTGTTTACTTTCAAACAGAGGCTCAGTTTTCACTGCTGGTGTGACGTATGAAGGATGGAAAATATAGCCACACCAAAAAAATTACTGCGGTACACTGTGCACGAGCGATATTAATACTACATACAGTCGTTTCTTCTACAAGTTGTTTGGTTACTGTTTACTTTCAAATGGAGGCTCATTCATCACCGTTATCTGATGTATGAATGATGGAAAGTCAAAAATATATTACAGCTCTACACTGCATGAGCTATATTAACACATTTGTTTCTTGTTTGAGTCGTTTCCCTGATGTTTACTCTCAAACAGGGGCTGAGTTCCTTTCCTCACAATTTACTTTATTCAATTAACGTCACCAACAGAGACGACAGAAGTTTTTGCTCAGTGGCTGGCTCAAGTCGGGTCTGCTATTTTAATTCTTGTTGAATTTTGCATGCATTAGCAGTTGTTTCTGGACAAAAACAACTTCATAAATTCTGCTGTCCCCATTTGGAAAAGGTAAAAGACAGCGTGCCCTCAAGGGAAGAACACCACTTAAATTCAGAAAAGTTGGCAGAGTATCCTGGTGGGGCTGACATATTAAGGAATATGACAGATGCTGCTGATTATGCAAAACAGCTTGGTGTCCCACAAGTTATCCGAGTATCGGGAAGTAGTTTGTGGTATTCCTAATACCTCTGCCACAACTGGATTTGTCCACGTCAAGAGTCACAATGACACATCGTTGTGTTCCGTGAAGCACTGCCGGATTTTCAGTGGTGGAAAACAGCTAAAAACACGGCACATGTGCCTGCATGTGCATTTATTGTCATGTTCTCTTGGTTTGTGGAAAGTCCCTTCACCAGCAATTGCTAGTTCAACAACGCCAACCGTAGCAGTGTCCACATGCACCTCCAATGAAACATCAAGTACCATTCCAACATCATCTGTTGCAAGAACATCTACGTTGAAACTCAATCAGGCCACTCACTATCCATATCACATTCCTTTAAGTGTCATAAGTGCTTCCCATAATGCAGATAGCCACACTCTTTGTGG